AAAATTAAAATCACTTTTCTTCAAAATGTTACAGTCGACACCCGGTTTTAGCATAGAAAGTCGCATAATACGGCTTGCGTGATTCTCATTTAAAAAGTCCCAAATCAGTTATTTGGAATTCTGATAGGCAAAATATTTCATGGACATACGTGTTCAACTGATGACGAAAAATTGTAGAAAAATATGATTTTGCTGTCGAGATATTGCGGTTTTAAAAGTAAGTACGCATTAAAAGTGCAGTAAAATGCGAGTTTTAAAAATAAGTACGCATTAAAAATGCAGTAAAATGCCGCGAATTATCTGACGTCGTATCAAGACTTTTTGTATTTGTACATCCATGCCAGAAAAACATGTTATATATGATGTATACCTTACCTACCCGTTTACCTTAATTACTAAACTAGACCCCTTTATTCATCCCACTTCAGGAACAATTGTAATTAATTCATGCATATTTTGACAACATTTTATTGAAAGCCATGCATTTTCAAAAAAGTTATATCGAAATGAAAATGAGGACGTTTTTGGCCCACCCTGTACATCAACATGTAACGTTTCATATCTCATCTAGCCAGATATTGTCTTGGATGCTACTCACATTTGAACACTATTAAACTCACCTTGATATTCAATGCGATTCTGTTATATTTTGGTTGTACTGAATTTGGGAATACAGAATTGAAATCCATCAAGGAGTACGTTTGGGCCTGGTTCACTGATTCTTCATGTTTATGAAAACTTCCTATCCTGAATGGCGTTTCTGTAGACGCATAAAAATCAATGGCTATCAATGTCCCATTACAGGGGAACACAAAGTCTGTTAGGATGTCTATGTACACAGGTGTCCCAGTACCTTCTGGTTGTTCCGTTATGTAACCGCTTGACTTCGGACAAACTGAAGATAATTTTACATTTATACAGCATTGTAAAACATATCATTCAGAGTTATTCTAAGTGAGAAGGTGGAAAAGGGAGTCGACACTGGAAGATAAAGAAATTAAATGACACCGTGGACCTATTCTAGCTTTGCTTTTCACAAATGAATGTAATTGATTGATTTTTACTTAGATTAACATTTTGGAATCATTGGGATGTTATTCTATTTTCGATACTGTAATTAAGCCTCTGTTAAGATTTCATGCTAATAGTTTCGATTTCACACAAAGTAGGTGGTGTGTTTATATTTATCAAATGTTTATTGATGTGAAATTTGACGTATACGCAATGCATGGGAATAACATAAATTATTGAAAAGTCTTGTATTTCCAGACTCAACAATGACACTTGTCATTTTTTATTTATTTATTTTGACATAACAGCGGCACACTATTATTAGGTGCGTCAGTATTTGCAAACTACACATAGGGTATCATTTTGAAGATATTTTATATTAACTTCATACGTTTTGTGAGGTGTAAGTCAGTTTTGTGAAATCGGAATAAAATCACTTTTAAATTCTTTGCTTTATTTTCTCATTTTTGTTTATATTAAGGAAGATTGGCTAAATGCTTGGTTTTGGGATTAATATTATTATCCAATTCGTCCATATAAGTGTAAGAAAGATCACAAAACAGTACCGAGAGCCAATCTACGTTGAATTTTGGTCCACGATTAATTCCCTTTAATGACACCGAACTTCAAATAATTATAATTTAAGGCATCACATTAAATATTGTTTTTGTCGATCGAGGAAAATGCACTTCTGAAAATGTTCATATTTAATTGAGATTTTTGACATATGAAAAATAAAAGTCGTATTGAACGAGTAAAATAGAATATGATATGCATTTTTTACGTATAAAATTCACAAATTAGAGATGATGGTGTAAATGTAGCATATGAACCACTAAGATAGAATGCCAGATTGACATAGCAAAACTTATGTTCACTTGATGTTAAATGGACAATTTATCTCTAAATATTATTGGAAGCGTCTTGTAAAATGTCGTGCGCGTCAGAGACCTTCGGCAATCGATTTTTCGAGTTAGATGCATGTTGTATTTACTTATTTTGCTTATGGTCATACATGCACTACACCGAATAAATGGTATATTCTATGCCAAAAAATAACATATGGGCACCATTATGAAATTAATGACCGGTCGGTTTGGTTTAAATGGTCGTAGTAAATGGTCCAAGGCAAAAGAAAATGGACGATTTTGCAATATGTGCAGTTTAAATCAAATTGAATCAATTGAGCGTTTTATGGAATGATAAGTGATAAAGTTAGAGTCACTATATGATATTTGCATGTGATAACGATGATCTTTCATTGCAAGTTTTGTCAATCATCCACGCAATGTTCCTTAAGAGACAAGCTTCACTTGCAAATTTAGAGTCTAATTTTGAAACAAATTGTAAATTAACATGATTAAATAGTTATACATTTTGTAATAACTTTTATTTTATTATATCATATTTGTAACTCTCTTATGTATAACAGGTAAATAAAGATACAATACAAGATTATACGATACAATACAATATAATATGATAATCAAAATGTTATAAATAAAGGAATGTATGTATTAATATTTACCTTCTTTTATTATATCATATTTGTAACTCTCTTATGTATAACAGGTAAATGAAGATACAATACAATATTATACAATACAATACAATATAATAATCAAAATGTTATAAAGGAATGTATGTAAAATTTACCTTCTTTTATGTATGCTGGAACACTTGGGATATTAGCTGTCCAGAATCCAAGGAAGAAAATCCACATTTGGGATGAGTTTTCCATTTTACAACAACACAAAGATTGTTTCCATGGTTATGTCTTGCATTTATGTTTTGTTTTGTTGCTTTCTTATTTATGTTATGTTATATTAGTTTATTTATCATCTTAAAGATGAGTCCATTTACATATTGTGTCTTGTTTTGATTTCTCGGCTATGTAAATTTATTTGATAACAATTTCAACTATTAGTTTTCATACTTTTTCCACAATTCTAGTCTGCATTTAAATAGATGACTTATATGAACTCTTTTTGAAGGGGTATATTTTTTATTGATCTCCATTTTCCCATTCATTTTGTTAAAGCATGGTCTTCCATATCGGTAATTGTATATAGCAATTGATGTATTCCTTGGTAACTATTGTTTGGTGCTATCATATATAAATTATTCCATTCATTTAGTTTGGTAAAATGATATCATGCAATATGTAATTTAATCTACATATGACAAGTAACGGAACAATAGAAATGATGATGATGGTGATGATTATGAATACAGAGTCACAACTGGGAAAATATATGTTAGCTATTGTTCCGATGTTTAACATCTAAATACCATATATTATTTGTATTTTGTGAATATCCTGTAGCCTTAATTGAAAGATACAATAACAATGTATATAAGTATGAAGGAATTGAAATTAAATAATCTTATTCTACACCGTTGCTGGTGTAGTGGTGGCTTTAAATGGCTAGGAGTGGATATGATATGCGGCACAAAAGGTAGATCATCTTAGGTTTAAAATTAATTGTTTATTGTAATCACAAACACAGATAGCCAGACATAGACACAGACAGACAGCCTGTAAAAGTACAAATTACAACATTTTGGGTATGAATAAAATTACCAATGTAAAAATAGAATACATAACATATCATCCCTGAATCAACACACAGTTACATAAACGTGGTCATAAAAAGCTTAGATATTTGTCATTGAACATTGAGCATATGCGCATTTCAAACAACAATGTGCATTTCAATGACCAACTACATTATGTAGAGTAAGCTAAAAATATATACCATTATTACATAAATGACCAAATGTATCCTGTGAATACAACTATCTCTAATATAGAAGCAATTACGCCATCTCATATGAGCAAATGAGAAATGCGATATAAATGCAATCGTCATAGTGAAATGCATGTTCTCTAAATATATATGCTTACCCTATGGGCTAACTGTATAAAGCTGTGGTTGATTGGATTTTGTATGTATCTGCTATAACATTGTTGCCTTAATTGAATAAAGTAATACCCAAAATGTAAATGTCTGTTTACAAAATATAGATTTTGTTCACAAAGTTGACAAGTTTCTAAAATTACAATTTCAAGTTTATATTTCTATCAAAACATCTAATAATTTATATGTACTGTACATGAACCTTGTAATATCTACTTAATGAATATTAATGTAATTAATCTCTAGGGTTATTATATCAGTTAAAAATATTACAAAATATGGGATAATTTCTTACCAAATCGTTCTCCATTATGGGTTTATCCAACCAACAAATCTGATTGGTTGAAAAGTAAAAAAGGTGGCAAAAAAGTACGCCAAATTATTAGGGAGCATACATTATTGCATAATTAATGAGAGCAATTGGCAAAAAAAGTACGCCAAATTATTAGGGAGCATACAATATTGCATAATTAATGAGAGCAATGAACAGTTAAATACCCTTTTTACACTGGTATATTTAGGAAGTTTACATCTGCTATGCTTTAAAACCTTAATATTCTTATAAACTTAAGAAATTTCCCTTGACCATGGAATATTGTAGAATAGCAACATTTCACATATTCGGTGAATACTTTTGTTTAAAATTCGATTTTACATCTTAATTTTACACTAATCATACAGGTTATAAGCGAGGCATTTCTAACAAAGAGGTATGCATTACACAGGCAAAGCGACTTTTCTATGTAAGTTTTCAAAAAACATATGTACAGTAGGATGAGGAGTCCCGCTTTAGTCCCAGTCACATTTGCTCTAAGGCGACCGTGCGTCGAATGTAGTTCCTTAAAATCGAGGTCGCCTTGCGATCCTCGTATGACTTATCTAGATATTACAACCGTAGACTCGCCGTAGAAATTATAGCTTGGAGTTAACTTTTTTTCATTACCGTGGTCACCGTAGAAATTAACAGGCCGTAGTCAGTCAATATGCACCTGTTCAAATCCTCGGGAAATAGTCAAAATCCAACATATGACTGTCTGAAATCTGTTGCAACACTTTCTGCGGTTCTTTGGCCCGAGTAGTTTAGGAACAAGTTGCACATTTTCTGAATAAAAATATGTTTTATTAATACAATATAAATGTAAGCTTACTGCACTGCACTGTAATTGTACTGCACTGTAACTGCACTGCAATACACTGCACTTTACTGTACTCTCAATTAAAGCCTTGTGTTTTAAGATTTATTCGGCTTCAATATGGGCGCTTTCGGTCCAATCTTTGGTTTCTTTTTTGTGCCATATACAACCAAGTTGTAAGCCTGTCTGATATCCATTATAAGCTTTGGGAGGTCTAGAATAATGATCATTGATATAAATATAATAGGTGGGACACATACAGGGATTGCTATAGCAGCTGCATATTTCGCTTCACTTGGCTCATACTCGATTTTCTTAATGTAAACATATTCATCAGCTTTTTCAGCTTCCTCTGCTATGTCTTTAAATACAATCATTAGAGGCGTAGTCTTGGGCATAGTTGTGTTTGGCGATGACTGAAACTCAGGTTGAATCGTTTGGTTTGGATACGAAGTAGGAGTGTCAACACTTGTAGGGATGGTTTCAGTGGTTGAAGGAATGGTTCCGATGGTTTCAGTTGTTGGGTTGGTTCCAATGGTTGTTGGGGTGGGATGACACACTGGTTGGTGGTTCGTCCAAAAGATAAATGTGACATTAGAATAATTCCCGTATGGCACCCAGGAATCATTTGATGAACACTGCAGGGATGTTATGTTTGGTATTTGGAAGCCATCATCGCAGGTATAGTCAGCTAGGGATTCAACACGAGTAGATGTATAATTCCGGCTTCCATGTTCCATAGTTGGGGGTTCTTTGCAGTTTACAAGGGTGCATGATGGTGTCTGAGACCACGTGTGGTTAATGCAATGTATTTCTGAAGTTGTGTTTCCAAATCTTTCGTCACATGTGAAGCTGGTTATCCATGAAGTTGAATTTAGAATAATACCATGTTCTATTTCTGATATTGGACGACACGCTACAACAACAAAAAAACAAGCCACATGACGTAAAGGTTTCACATAGTTAACTAGCCACCAAAAAGATGAGAACAAATTGACCGGCCAAAAAGCGAATCAATTGCAAAACTTTACAAAAATCGAACTACTAGTAGTTTAATGGGATCACAAAATGATTTACCGAAATGCAATCTAAATGGCTGCCTTAAAACAATAATTCCTTAGAAGTGCTCATGCCCAACTGTGAAAAATATGGAAAACTTGGTGTGTGTGTTTTATTTGCTCATTGTAATTTTCTTTACCTGGTGTTGCATAGATCTCCACATTACAAATCTTCCAATCTGTGTAAACATCTGATTGTATTGATTGTATCTCAACCTGGTCCCCAAATTCTAAATATTGACACTTGTATAAAGCAGGAATTGAGTGCTTTATTTGAGCATCTCCGATGCATAGACTGTGCTGGTCCGCACTGTCGTGAACAGTGATATTGAACTGATAAGGCGCTGCTGTAGTTGTGGCATCTGGAATATATATTTTTTGGTGTAATAAAGCACTTCGTATGGTATAGTGTCTTTGAATAAGCTATAGCATTTTTTAAAAATTTTGATTAATACGCTGCTCATATTCTTAAACATTTCAATATTAAAATATCAAAGGGTACCAAAATTATTTCCACTGTCTGCCAATACCTGTTTTAGATTAAAAGACAACAACAGAACACTGTATTACACGAACAGATAGCGTGCACCACATGAATAAGTGATTTAAAATATTTACTTATAAAAGGATAGTTACGCTAATACATATTTTAAGCATAGTATTTTGGGGTCCTTAAGTCAACCATATTTTAAACTTTCTTATACCTTTTTGTTAGGTTTCAAACCTTAGTTTGATATACAATTTTACGATTTTATAATATAACGGCATTCCTTAATTCAATTCCAGGTGCCATGAAACAATAACCCTTGTGTTTTATAGTGTTTTACATTATGTTCAAGAATGTCTTAAACATCATGTTTTAGGGGTTGTCATGTTTTTCTATTGAGCTTTACTTACTAAAGTTGATTATGAGTTCATCAATTCGAAAATAAGCTCCCATATGAAATGTTAAGCTGGTGGGTGAAATGTTTGTACATGTCTCATATTGATATACGTCAGTCACTACAGGCGCCAATTTTGACGTTATGTTGAGAGGATTCATATTTCCCTTTCCTGTAAGCACAAAATACATGTATTTTTCATAAAGGGTGACGTTTAGCAAATCGAGCGCTCGTTTTTGGTATTGCTCACCGTTCAGTATAAAAGGCACGATCCAGGAATAATACTCAAGGGTTCACAGACTCGAGGTCGTTGTGTCAACAACTCTAACTGTTATATAGTATAAGTATATCATAGATCATCACGCATTTATTAAAGGGAGACTTTTTTGAGAAATGAATTTCACATTTATGGGTGAAGTTTCAGGATCTTCTATTTGTGTATAATCAGGAAAAATGACATCTAAACGCCATGGCGTAATAGTACACAACTTGGCATATGAAATATCCTCCAAATGAAACAAAGCAGTTGTAATACAAGAATTTATATTGGCTGTTGTACATGCATTCTTTGAAAAATCACTCTCTGAATAATGTTTATAGAATCATTATAAATGTATAACTTTATCTCCAAGACAATTTCAATAAACTGGATTTTACAAAACTCCCCTCATTTCTTCAAACTGGACTGATCCAGTTGACTCTCCTGGAGCCGCCATATTGTTTTTATACGGGAAGCTTATCGAGTCCCTTTAAAGATTTACAAAAACCATTTGACTAGATTTAGATATATTTATGCCATCTTACCGAATGAATGCCACACTTTACGATGATGAACCATCGACAATTCCATTTTATCATGATATCGGGGATATAAAGTCAGCACGTGTCTGTTTTCGCGGCAAAACTGATTTCATTTTCAGAGCAGAACTTTTACGTCACGTGACATGACGTGTGTGGTTGAAACAATTTGCCGCGAAATACGATTTTGTAGATATAATGAATGGAACCCTGGCTTTCAAAAACGAGTTATTCGTTCTCATGTTGAATCGATTTTTGCACGATTGAGTCTATTCTCATCAATTTCGAGTAATTAAAAGAGTATAATATCACTTGCAACTGACTGCGGAATCAATCGAGCTGAAACGCTATTAAAAGCATGTACGTTATATAATAGCAAACACTGTCAGTGTTTGGAGATTAAAACATTTTAACCCGAACGTAATGCTGTAAGGCCAATTTTTTTAAATATAATTTTTGGGTTAACAATATCAGTTGTCGGTATACGGTTTCACAAATGCATTTCAATCAATTCCTTGTATATGTAATGAATAATATTGCACTGCTCGTTCCTCAAGAATTTCATTTTGTGAAGTTCAATGAATTAGAAATATTTATGTGGCTATATGCGTGCGAATTTGGAACTAATGTATATTTTTACTTTGGTTCAGCCTTCGTAGTAGTTTGCAACAACACGGTACACGGTACTCATGGTCAGGTTACCTTAAGAAGTTCGCAAAAATAACAACATTTCAGAGGTTGACAGTCTTATCTTAATAAATCGTGTTGTGTGGGGAAATATCACAACTTTGTAGTCCAAATAACAAAAGATATGCTATTTGTGCTAAAAAGAAGAAAATAAGAGATTCTTCAATTGGTTTTAGTACAACTTTAAATGTACACATTTAATTGCTCGGCTTATTGAATGTTATTCCGCGTCTCATGGTCTCTCCTTAAAGGGTTCCGATAAGCATTCCGTATAAAAACAATATGGCGGCTCCAGGCGAATCGACTGGATCAGTCCATTTTTAAGAAATAAGGGGAGTTCTGTAAAATCCAGTTTATTGAAATTGTCTTTGAGATAAAGTAATCCGTTTATAATGATTTTGAAAACATTATCCATAGAGTGATTGCGTTCAAAGAATATGTACAACAGCCAATATAAATCCTTGAATTAGAACTGCTTTGTTTCATTTGTAGGATATTTCATATACCAAGCTGTGTGCTATTACGTTGTGGGGGAATTTAGATGTCAATTTTCCTTATTATAAACAAATAGAAGATCCAGAAACTTCACCCATAAATGTGGAATTGATTTGTCAAAATAAAAATCACCGTTTTATAAATATGTGACGATCTATAATATACTTATGCTATATAACAGTTAGAGGTGTTGACACAACGACCTCGAGCCTGTGAACCCTTGAGTATTATTCCGGGATCGGGCCTTTTATACTAAACGGTGAGCAACACCAGAAACGAGCGTTCGATTTGCTAAACGATATGCGTCACCCTTTAAATGCGATTGAAATTAATGATGCATTAGAGATTGTTTCATAATCTAAACTCAATTCGTGATGCATTTGAATTATCAGGTCAAATCCCAGTTTAAGCGTTGTTTTATTAACAGCACTTCTATTTGTAAATGATTATACTCACTTATGCAGCGGTAGGTTATCACTGCCGTTACATTATGGTCCTCATCACATGTATTCTGCCTAAGAACAGAGTAATCGTCGTAGTGTACTATGCACTCATTTTGCTTATCACACATGTCCTTGATCACATTGTCATTCTTCACTTCCTGGATATTGCACACGGAGTTGAATTCAAACCCACACAAATAATTGATACCATTGCTGTTGTTGCTTTGTCCCACTTCGACAGTATCAACAACTAGAACATCGTCCCCCTGACATGATAGTCTAATACTTTTATCTGATGTCTCACAGCCAGTTTTCTTCAGTGTTTGGGCTGAAAGAGGTGACAATGTAAAAAAATAATCATCATAGTCTGAAATAAGTGAAACACTTTAATTGTCATTGATTTTTACAAAACGTTCCACAAGAAGCCACGCAAGGTTAATAAGTGCACCCAACAAACGATTTCAAAATATTTTACTAACATGAGTTATAGTGTTATAAGCGGGAAACAACTCCGAGAGATAGTCTAAGATAAGAAGTTAATATTTTCAAATAAATCATTACCATTCTTGTATGTTTCCGTCTCAAAACAGCTTGTGTTTTGCAGATGTACTGAATAAAGGATTACGTCACCAGTTGCAGACATAACAAACTCTTCCATGGTTTCATTCATTGGACCTTCCATTTCTTCTTCAATATCACTGGTAAATACTTGGACTCCATTTACGTAGTATCCAACCATTTCCTCATCCTTTGTCATAGTTATTTGGAGTAATTTTGATAGCTCCAGGAACTTCATATTCAGTTTTACCGACAGAGCTAAAATCGCCTGTTTTAGACTGAGGTATCCACTAATCTCAACGTAACCTTCAGAATTGTTGTTGATGATAAGCATCCCGAAGGTATTTGTAACCTTAATCATAACATCTATATCTGTATCTCTGTCATCATGATGTTCTGCGTTTGGTGTGAAATCTACCCAAGTTTCTAAACAGAATGCGCTGTTGAGTTCACCAGAGGCCACACTATCCTCATTTTGAATTGCTGACAGTCCAACATAGTCTCCCTGTTTTCTTAAAGTAGCATTCCCTATGAGAAAATATAATTCGCAATGTAAGAACAAAACATTAGCAATCCAGAACTCTCAAAATGATTATGTTAAACGAATTTATAAACCAACTTTTAACGCGCCCTTCCAATAACCATATAAACATTTGATTAAACGTATCTTGTTACAATATAAATCATATGTACGTTACCTTGTAGATTTTCAAACGGGGCTTGCGTATTGAAATTGTATACGATTATTGTTTTCGAAGTCCTCTCAAAATCACAACAGCCTAAATAATAGATATGACAAATATGTCTTATTCTATGTTTGTATGCATGGACAGAATGGGACACCGTTCATGCCTCCTAATTGATTCCAGGCTCGTCTAAGGTTGGCTTAGTTCAGTTGAGTTTTTGAGAAGTGTTCAGGAACATTTTAGGATGATACAGTCACACATTTGGGCTAATGTATGAATATATTTTCAAAATATTGTATAAATATTCGACTGTTGGAGAATTCATTTCTGAAAACAATTGATCTAATTTTTACACGTAATACGCCATGTACTCTCTATAGCTAACTAATGTAAGCTCTATTCATGTGCAACTCATAAGATCTGATTTGTGCTAAGGATATACTATATAATATTTCAAAAAAGCTCTAAATTGAAAACATAGCGATCTGCTTATCTCTTGAATTCAAAATGACGCCCATAAATCTTGCAAATTAGGGCGATTGTGAGTAGTTCATAATTTTTGTACCCGATGATCAATGATTCCGGCAAATAATTCCAGAATCAAATAAGCTTCCTTATGATATTAAGAAATGTTGCCACGTGATCTGGGATTTGCTTTGGTTGGTTATGAATCATCTAATATAAATCCTGCATTGCCTTTGGCGCATCTGAGAACCATTTAGTTATGCGCTTTTCATAATTCAGGAAAGAAACACATTGTCAACGTCCATACCTCTACATTTGAGATCATCTCCGATCCATTCACCGGATCCAGCAGAATCGTGAATTTCACATTTCTTTGTGAATTCTCCCGAGTAGTAAAAATTTCCAGGCAAACATTCATACTTTACTATTGCACCATTGTGCCACCCATCCAGTTGAGTGATTCGCGTATGCCCAATAGGTGGCTCTGGTAACACTGGACACTGAACTAAAAGCAGAGAACATGCTTAAGAATTGTGTAAGTGAGAAACTTATTTCTATTTTAACTTTATCAGGTGATAACATAAGAATTGTGTAAACTATGAAACTCATGTCCAACTTGATTTTATTATGTTTCAATCTCATTTTCATTCCATTTAAATAATAAAAGATACAATATGATATAATTGCCAGCGGGGTGTGAAGCGCATACGAAATGGTGAAATGCAAAGTTGCTACTAAAGGACTTAATAGTAACATAGAACAATACATTCCAACTTCATACCTGTTAAGATTGGCCCTGCAGAGTTATCATACTCCGAAGAATTGCAACCAATTACATCAAACCTCAATGATACATGATCCTTCCATGCCTGAGGATTAATGCGAACAAATCTGGCGTTGACAGGTGGTTCAATCAAGTTAATAACGTGCCTGTTTCGGTCTTCATTACCAGGTAGAATCTAATTCAAAATAAATATAAATACTAGTTATAGAATTAGTATTTGGAATGAATACAATGAACACGTCTTCATATTTGTTGCCTCATGATGTTTTTAATCCATTTTAAATTTATGATAATTAAAATAACGTTCCTATATGACGTATAAATAGGATTGAGATAATCAGTAGTACACATATGATGCCATACAATGGAACCTTAAATACCTGAAAATATAGATAAGGTTCGCGCTGTATTACCTCCTCATACTCTTCCAATTTATCTTCAGTGTCACCATAGAAGAACTTATACGATTCAACCCACTGGTCTTCATCAAACCTTCCTTGAGTGACAACTCCACTCACGGTCATAACTTTACTAAATTCTGCCTGTATCCACTGGTTATCGTGTTCGACAGCTGCAGTCCAGCTTCCTCCTTTGAGAGTTTCATGATCACTTGAATAAACAAATTGTCTTTTAGGTGGATTTGCCACATTTTATATCATCCAAATGGTGACTGTAATTGAGGGAAATAATGCAAAATATTTTCCCCAGGGCATATCCTGTCCACTGACATGTTCCCGAGGCTGCAGGCTGAGGGAACATATGTCGATTGATAGGATATTCCCGAGGGGAAAATATTTACACTATTTCTCGATCAGCTGGCAGTCACTATATGTTTTATTATATACCCCATATGTACTCTGTAAATAAAAAAAAACAAGATAAGAAGTCTTTTAATTTCAACATTTAATGCTTTCAGGATCTTATTGGCATTTAAAGGAAAACCCCATGGTTCAAATAAGATATATGTCTATCATGTAAATCTGTATTGAGAATACGACAGACAGCCGACAGACAGACAATGGCGGTTTCTAAAGGTCCATGCGCAGTATGGCAAGTGCTTTTAGCCAGCCATATCTTTCACCATGAGTACTTTCTGGATATAAATACAGAGGATTTTATTAAAACAATATTTTTTCTTTAAAGTGAAGTCCCCATGATAGTAAAATATCAATCCAACTCTCTGAAAAAATAATGGATTAGGACCCCACTTTGTCACTTTTTTAAAAATGAAAGGCTTATTTTATAAAAAGAGGATCTTGTTTTTCTCAATTTGAATATATCTAAAGTTTCTTCTACACTATATTAATAACTTCTGAAAAGAGGATGGGTATTGAAATTCAATAAAGTTAAAAAAACACATTTTCATGCTATCCATTGTTTTCAGCATGCTTCTGGTCATCGAAAATTGATATCTTCAAAACTAGACTTTTAATACCATTCTACTTTTGAAGATGTTTTAGACCCCTTGTTGAATAATCTTTTCATGCAATAAAAATCAGAAAAAGAAGATCTTTTTTTGAGCAAATAAGTTCAACATTTTGAAAAAATTGTTGACTATTGGTCCCTATTTATAATTTTTCGAATTGTCCGATTGGTATTTTTATTATCATGGGGACTTCACTTGAAAGAAAACATATTGTTTTAATGTAAACCACTGTATTTATGCCCAGAAAGTACTCATGGTGAAAGATATTGATATGACCGTCTGAAATTACTTGCCATATTGCACGTGAAGTCGTGGACCTTTTCGTAACACGCTTCGAATAGTATTATGCTAATTTCTGGAGTGTTGAATTTACCATAGCTTGTTATTTTGAATCAATACGGAGAAAGGTGTAATCAATATACTTACATCGATTAAAACATCGCAACAACGTGTAATTTTCGAAAACTAACTGGTGGGAAGTGGCGCAAACGAAGGTGGTACGCAAGAGACATAATTATATCTGTTAACTCTTAAACTCTGCGGCTCCCCCACCCTCTAAGCTAGCAGGGAAGATGAACTGCGGTGATGTAATACATAACATCGACAACTTGAAGGTTATAAGAGTCATCTCATTTTGCGGAGGTATACTCTAACACAAAATCAATCAAAATTGTAAATCGGAAATTAGTCTTTCTTAAAATTTACCGTATAAGCGAGTCAGTTCATCAAATCTGACAACTTCTATGAGAAAGTCGGTAGTTATGACATATTCTTGATAATAAATGTATAAGCTAGTGAGAGCAATCCAGAAATGACACATATAATTATAATGGCTAAAACAGAAATTCCAATATCACCGAAAGCATGCGGACGGAAAACGTAATATGTCTAAATCTTTAATTCAATCTTTTGTTTGGTTTTATAAGCACCAGAATAAAATATCAAAATGTATTGTGTATACAATGTGTCTCAAAAACACGATCAAACACATTGTAAAATCACAGAACTAGTGATTTTTTCATCAATTTCATTTAGTTTACCATAAAACCACGTGTCTTTTCTTTCCAATGATATGTCATTTGTGTATATGTGTTCATGGACTACTGAATAATCACTTTTTAGCAAGTGGGTGAAAAGGCGTTTGTGCCAAATTATGAAATATCCCCAATCAACCGATTCTTATTGTACAATCAGATAAATCCTCATGTTATTGGAGCTGCGGATTAAATTCTGGTGGCGGTGTAAAAGGGTAGGCGGTCCTATTAAATTATGGTCCTACTCTCCGTTGATTTATATGGTGACCTAAATACAACTCCTTCCCTCATTATCTTATACGCAATCAGGGCCAGTAAGGGCCGTTAAGAAAGGGGACAATAATCCCTGGGGGACCATCATTTCTTTCACAGCGGGACCTAATAACAATAATTTCAGACTTAGATTAAGTGTATCCTTAGTGGTTCATTTTACGTAACAAACATATGGAAAAAGAGTTAGTCACAATTATTGTCTCTCATCTTAGGATTGATTACTCATGAAAAATTACATTCCATGCCCCTTCTAAAGTTAACATGGCCCCCATTTCTCTACACATGGGAATTGGCTCATCTCTCCATGTCACGCACGGCTCTTTGAATCATACGTGAGTTCTTGCGGAGAGTATAAACCACATTGGTGATTCTCTGTTAACTGTTGTTTTGCGGTCATATATGAATAAATAACATACCATTGGAAAGAAGAAACATGTTTCTATATGCTTAAAGATTCTCGCAATCTTTATCCAATCAGCGTTTGCGAGTGTGTCGGCTCACGTATAAAAGGCGAATCCAACTCAAATCCATGCAGGGGTGTATGAGGTACTCGAATAGGAAAGAGCTCGTGAAATCTGAATTTATATGCACATGGTCAATGTTTACACATGTTTGAGTTATTGAAGAAAATGTGATATGGGTGTGGTTCCGAATTTGAAGTCATTGCTGGAAAATATGATTTTAATACGTGAAATTATATCTATAAATACAGCACTAAAAATAACAGTACACATGAAGTACATGTATGATTGTGTCCAGAAATGTTTGAAACCCTTACGGAAAATTCTGTCTGCATTTTGTCACCATTGCTCTTTCTTCCCGCATTCTAGTGCTGTTTGAATGAATATATTAATTAATATATTTCTAACTAAAATATATCACATTTTTTTATAAACCACAAACATTTAGATCATAAAAAAATTATTCAATACTTGAGTGAGCACGATATGCAAGGGTTACTAAGTTGACACAGTAAATGACCATTGATATTGTGTTAGTCCATGCACACAGCGTAACACCCCTCACTTTCATAGTGAAGTGACTAATTGGTTTATGTTTACGTTTTAATGTGTTTTGGGTTCCTTGTTACAGCAAGGGGGGCCAGTAAAGTAGACTAACATGTTTGCATGGCAAGTTTTGATCGAATATGTGAGACACTTTAACTAAATCTTTATGTTGCATCACTGGTATTGAGGTTTTACATTGATTGTGCTTGTTGCGTTTTTTGGAATGTACTTCTAAAAACCCATATTTACATTAACAGGTCCCGGATAACCTACGTACCTCTCTCCAGTGGTGTCTAATCTAGATCTGTTTGTTCCTAAGTAGTGTGTTGAATCTATAGGCCAAGTGCTAGATGCTGTTATATGTGAATTGTCAACATTGTAAACATCCCCAGATATCAGTTGTGTGCAGCGGACTTAAATCAAAACAGCGACATGGCATATAATAGGGACTGATAACATGATAAAAACAACACTTGTATCTCTTTGAATTGATTTATGATACAATAATAAGGAAAAGATTCAAGACTAAAGACTAAAGATTCATATTCATCTGCTTTACAAATCCAACATTCTTCGATAGGCTTTTGAATTATAATTTAGATACTGGAGTTCTCTTCCATTCCTTGTCTTTTTATGGTATCGCGTGATTACCAGGAAGAGTCAAAAAAGTTAAACCCAAACAAATGTTAATAAGTCCCTCATCCATGGATTTAAAATCATATTTGGCTCATCACAATGTTCTTTCATTCTTTTAGATCCATTGGTCTGTTATTATGTTCACGATTGTATGGCCATTTTACAAAGACATGCCCAAATAAGGAAACATTACAAAATCATCCAATATGAATCTCCAAACTTAAAGCTTTGGAGCCAAGTCAAAGATATTGTCCACACTTACAACTCTAGAAGCATGGGCGTAGCAACAGGGGATTCGCGTGGCTTGTGCAACCGTCTTCGACTCGACCCCCCATATTTTTTGTTATAAAATGAATTCCCGGTTTGGAATAACCCCCTTTTCTGAAAGATTAATGAACCCCAAGTTAGGAAGGAACCCCACTCTCAGGAAGGTAACTATTTTTGTATGTATGTAGTAACTTCACCGGTATATTCAAATTAGCCTCCAAAACAACCAACAGCCTCCAATCGAGCCAAATATGATTTTAATCCCATTCTGGATGACAGGAGTTATTAACATTTGTTTGGGTTACCTTTCTTGGCTCACCCTGTGTATAGGTCTGCATTCCTCGTTCAACACAGCACTTACATCAAGCCTAATTACCGTATATAAAGCAAAGCTACCTTTTTCATGTACTTCTACATAGCACAGAGCTAGTTGAGTAGCAGTTTCTCCAATCAATTCAATTTTAACTGATCTCCCACCTATTGGTTCATTGCATGTTATCTCATGAGGAGTTAAAATCACACCAGGGTGACTCATACACTCTTTATTCTCGATATAAATGGTAAAATTCTTCAGGGGATAATCTGAAAGTTCACAGAAAGCTACGAAGTATATAAAATCACAATAGGCCTAATGGATGAAATAACTTCCGTGATATATTATTATATTATCCTCTTGAATCCCAGTCTCTAAAATCGGTTGGAACCAGAGAATTTTTCATTTTTGCCACCTTTTGACATTTTACCACATACCTATACCACTTTAGATTCTCACCTTCGTAAAATTAGAATTTTTGTGTAAATTGGATGAAAATGATTCAAATAAGACCAATTTTAGTGAGACATTTTGGGACGGATTTTCTCGTCACTCTGGGTTTCTGAGGTGACGAAAAATCTCGCCACTCCAAGTAGTCAAGAGGTTAATATAATGCACATGTAAACGTTAAATGCATGCTTTTATCTAAAATATGATCGACTTGATGCATATTTTGCTATATTTTTGTCTAAAAAGTATTTCATAGTTTTAAAATATTTTGGATATAGTAAGGCTTACCTTTCACAGGGGTTATTACAATTTTTGAGAATATGAAATAGTCTCTAGAGAAGGACATCCAATATGGCCTGATTTCTCTTGAAGTTAAACTATTTATAAAATCGTCCTTGTGGTTATCTAACCCCATGAGGAGAGCATTTCTGGATGAGTAGTCTTTCGATTCTTCTGAGGACTGTTTGGACTTTTTTCCAATAGCAGTGTTATCTGAATGCAAAAAGGTAGCAAGTAGACTATCAGAGGATAGGGACCGTTGTGAATAAGCTTTCCAAAGTCTTTTGCGATATGTATGTTCATGGCTTCTGACTCTATCTCGTGAAAATATGTGCGTCACTTGAACCATATGTCACATTTTGCGTGGCATGTAACAGAGTATATTTTACCATACAAAATGAAGACACTGAATAAAGAATGGATAAGCTCACCTGTATGTATCTCATACACATCGACATTATCAGTCCCAATACCATTGCACTCATTTTCACTACTGCAATCAATCGTGCTCGAAATGTTACCTCTCCTCACGTAACATTGTCGTTTCCTTAATGCAAATTCTTTCATGCCATTATTCAAGGCTTTCACATAGCACGTGTATATTGGGTCTTCTAATTCAGTACTTCCAGTGTCAACGGTAAGTTCGACAATATTTGGATCAATCAGGGGGATATTGTAGCAGCCGCTGTGTGTGTAGGGTAGAGTCAATTCCAAATCTAGAATTTAAATTACATGTCTGATTGATCAATATTTGGGTTAGTCAGGGTAATATTGTAGCAGGCGCTGTGTGTGAAAGGTAGAGTCCACTTCCAAATCTAGAATTTAAATTACATGATCAATATTTGGGTTAGTCAGGGTAATATTGAAGCAGCCGCTGGATGAGAAAGGTAGAGTCCACTTCCAAATCTAGAATTTAAATTACATGATCAATATTTGGGTTAGTCAGGGTAATATTGAAGCAGCCGCTGGATGAGAAAGGTAGAGTCCACTTCCAAATCTAGAATTTAAATTACATGATCAATATTTGGGTTAGTCAGGATAATATTTTAGCAGGCGCTGGGTGTGAAAGGTAGAGTCCACTTCCAAATCTAGAATTTAAATTACATGATCAATATTTGGGTTAGTCAGGGTAATATTGAAGCAGCCGCTGGATGAGAAAGGTAGAGTCCACTTCCAAATCTAGAATTTAAATTACATGATCAATATTTGGGTTAGTCAGGATAATATTTTAGCAGGCGCTGGGTGTGAAAGGTAGAGTCCACATCCAAATCTAGAATTTAAATTACATGAACAATATTTGGGTTAGTCAGGGGAATATTGTAGCAGCCGCTGGGTGTGAAAGGTAGAGTCCACTTCCAAATCTAGAATTTAAATTGCATGCTCCCGTTTCCATCATCTTGTTTCTTTTTCATAACATTTTTTCAACTTTTAACAACTTCATAGGTTATAAGTTTAACTTTAAACTCATCGATAATTGACCTTTGATTAGACAGTATTAGTGATAAAATACCATTTCATTATAATAAACTTTGACAAGCATCACTTGTTCGTGAATTTGGCATTTGTGGTAGTGGTCTCGCTTTAAGAAACTGGACCCTCCTCCTATCTACTCTACTTTGTGTTGTGTTGGAGAAGCAGATAAGGGGGTTCACAGTTATAAAGCAAGGCTATTGTGGTAGCTTCAATTGATATAGTAAAACTATCATTCGATTTCAATTTATATAAAGGAATTCCTTCATTACAGCGATTATGATTCACGTACCCGAATACATGTTATAAAGGTTTCTAGAAAACTCAGAGTCATGATGTGTATCCCAAAACATGAGTTCATCGACGATTACTTCCCCATATAATGCATTTAAAGCATTGTTGTTTGGCCTTCCGAGGACGATGTCATTGTACTGATTTGATAGATCACTCCTTGTTTCAGCTGAAAAAATTAAAAAATAAAATTTTCAGGTTTAATGCTCAATATCGATCAAGCAACAGAATTTCAATCCAACTCTTTCTATTAACTCATCGACTGCGACAGACTTCAAAAATGGTATTTTTATTTACAAAACTAAGACGGTTCCATAACACTATTGTATATTTGGGATTGCCTTCATTTTCTGTTTTAACATGACCATGACAGTATTCAATATTTTAAAAAAATAATTGTTTAGTGAGAGAAATATGTATTGATAATGAAAGGTATCATTTGTATAACATAAAAAACATACACAGCCAACACTTTGATGCTGTTCCGGGCACCTAAACATGAACACCGTTTCGGCACCATTCCTGAATTGTGACACTGAATTTCTGACACTGAATTCTTTCGGTGTCGTTCCGACACCGAAACTGGGCGCCGTTTCTGCACCGAAGGTACAACGCAGTTCCGACATCGAATACCGTACCGTTTCGACACCAAATGTACAGTTTATGAATTTAATGCTTAATTCAGAATCTTCATAGAGTAATGACATTAAAACATGTTTTAAGTTAACTTATTGTCACTAACAATGAGTAAACAAATGAGAAATAACATCAATCAAATATAAAATCAGAGTACTAAAGATTTGTCTCACGTGCGATATTTTCATGAACCATCGTTCCATTAACATAGAATTGCATCGCGTCTTGGTCCCTATCCCAGGCTAAGACAAGATGGTACCATTTTCCTTTCTCTGGCCAATCCCAAGATGTCTTCCACAATTTCGTGGTGCTACTCATCCAAGCAAGGAGGCTCCCGTCTTTCCAGAGTACCGCTATACCGTGTGAATATTTCGTTTGTCCTCCACTAGAGAAGTAGTACATGTTTGAAGAATCCTTCTGGCCTAATTTTATCCATAATGAAAGTGTTGCTCCATTGTTACATCTATCGAGATCCCCTGTAACACAATTGACATCATTCATGCAAATGGTCACTAATAAATTTACATATTAATCTAACAGTTATACCAGCCTTCCAATTTGCAATATTAAACATTGAATTGATATAAATATCTTTATTATCATGCGTTGTTTGATGTACATTATTGACGAATTTCTGCCATCTGATGCTATTATAAAAAAACGAACAATAGAAATGGTAAAATTATAATTTGGAAGACAAATTGTAGCAAGTATCACATCAAGTACATAGGACAAAACACATTCCCAACAGTCAGAATAAGAATCATATTGAACACCTCTTAGTAAGTATCTAAATTCACAACATGGGACTACCTACATGTACTTTTAAGATGTAAAACCAATATTTTCAATTTCCAAAACTAATAAAACTACTTTCTAGCACAGGAGATTTAAATAAACTTCAATTAGAATACAAAAAGTCTGAAATCACTGACTTGATTTACTGTAAATCGTATGTTCCATAAATGAGAGTTTGCGTTCACAATATAACAGGACATTCATTAAATTAAAGAAATTAAACGGCTACAGTGAATCCAGGGCATTCACACAGGTCTTCCTATTTGTGTTTTGGAGGAGGTGCAACTGCAATGTAGCACATTTTTGTAAGATTTTGGTCAATTCAAATTGTGAATAGGGATTACTTCTTGTAATTTCGAGAATGAGTTTCCATACACACTCTATAAATTCACCATTTACATTGGCTTCCGTGCGAACGGTGATTTTCTAATAGTATTCTATTGTGAATGCGGAATCTTTTTTGAAGGAGGGACTATTGGAAAATATTTGAATTTTTCCTCAACTTGGGGACAATTCAAATAGAACCAGTCAGATAAATAAAAATATTCATACTTACCAAAACATGTTTCTCTCAGGTTTACAGTCGGGCTGTTCAACTTAACATATTGGTTTATTCCATCCAGCGATAGTCCACCCCCTACTCGGCCTTGTACTATATTTGGATTTTCAAAGACTTCTCCGTATATCCCATGGCCAGTTCCTGAGATTTTACCGTTCTTGATCTCTTCAATGGGTAGGTAGTATACGGCACTATCCAAGATGTTCACCACTTTTTCAAAATAAAGATTATGTTTTGGTCTATATATTAAAATCACCTGGTTATAAATACGTTACGTTACGTCTTTATAACAAAATGAATGAAATCCCGTCGGGAGATTTCTTTATTTTCTTTTTTTTGCCAAAAAGGAGGTCTTGTTGTATAGAAACGTTACGTCTTTATAACCAGATGGGGACCAGTTAGCATGAACAAGTACAATCAGTCTGTCGGCCGACGTTATAAACCCATTGTTGTTTACCGGTTTTAAAAAAAAAGTGCGTAGTAATAATTTCGGCATTTTCGAACTACTTGTTTACGCCCGATTGGGCATGGTCTTTAACGAGTTGTTTAGCAATCAAGATGTTACTTTAATAAAATAAAAATAGTATGCCTATAATGATAAGTACCTCCTCTATCTAATGGTGTATTTTTCAACTGCCCAAGACCACGGGAAGTGGGTATAAAATGCGTTGGAAAAAGGGCTACTTTTAACTTTTTTGAACTTCGACTTTGTCTGATTAATTTATAGAATAATTTATTTTTATGATTCATTTTAGATCGTACAAAAGTTGGATAATGTATCGAAAATCATGCTCGTGAAAAAATTATTTAGATTCACTTAAAATCCAACGATCGTTACAGTTTTTACTAAACCTCAAACTTAAAACGGCTCATTTTTTACACAAATAACGTGTTTGACGACACAAATCACGGATCTATCTGTAGTTTCTATCTCTAAAGTTTAGGCATTTCGCACACCAAATAAATATTGTTATATAAAAATATGTATCACCCATTATTCGCGGAAGGTATTTAATTTCATGTATACGAAATATTTATCTGATCCGATAACGATTAAGTATTCATTTTTCAGTTTAAAAATACGAAAACTGCTAAAACGGGGCTAATATTGAGACAAAAATTACGTGTGACGTAATTATTTCTTTAATCATGCATTTTCTTCATAGAAATCTGGAATTAATTTTAAGGATCAATATTTAATGGAAAATATATATAAGACGACCACAGCGTGAGCAATGTATCGAATTTTAGGCAAACAAAAAACAAGAATGATTCAATTGAACATGAAAAATTGTTACAGTTTTTACTAAAATGAAAACTCTTAAATGGCGTCATTTTAGCCCAAAATCCAAGTTGACGACTTAAATAGTTCACGGATGTACTTCAGTTGACATCAAGCTTGAACATGAAATTCGCCCATTGAAATTCCAAATAAAACGATCGAAATAACATAAGTCTCGTAAAGGCGTATTGAATAATGTGTACGCCAAATATCATATTATGAAATTGAAAAATCAATGTACGATAAGACACTTTGTAGATAGTATAAGGGTTTAAAGATACGGACATTTATGAACAATTAACCTATTCTAAAGACGGATCGTATTCATTTCTTAAAGACGAATGTTCGAAATTCAAATTCAAGATGCCCATTTTGTGTAGAAAATATGTTTTCATCCGATCACACTACACATGTTCCAAATAACAGCTAAGAGAAAATTCATTGATATAGGATGAAGTGGATGGATTTGGTACATTTCTTTGCAATGTGGGCGCATTTAAAACAGCGCCATATTTTACGGCACAATTTCCGCTGGCCTGTGAATCTTTTTTAGCGCGTCATTCCAATCGGAATGATGATTATATGTATAAATTCCGCATTTTTAGAATAGACAAGAGTGTAATTTTTTCCTCATTCAGTTAAAATATTCTCATTTATGATATGGAATAGTTCACACTTCATGTACCATGGTACTAAACATGTTATATGGACATTAAACTCACGAACACGTACTGTGCTCCAATTTTGACTGATTTATGTAAATCCAAGAGAATCGTCTTAGCTTCTTATGCGCGCTGTAAATGAATTTTTATACTAGTCTACATAATATTTTTCTTAATTGTTTCTCATTAAATTCGAAGTCATATAATAGAAACAAAATCGTATTTCAAATATTTTCCAGCTGTACACCAAACACCCACCAAATTAGATCATTATGTAAATGTTTGGGAGGAAAAAGAACAGTACTATATGGCTCAAATGACATTTAATGTCATGATGTATGTCCATTTTTGTGATATATTTGTCATGATCACTCTGTACTGAACTCAATAAGGAACTAGAAAATGGCAACTCCACGGAGTAGCAAATCCCAACGAACACTATATAAATCATCAATCTGTACAGTCACAAAATAATATTTACCATCTACTCTTACCTTCAATAAATATATTAAATCATTGTAGCATCATGTAAATCTAAGAAATGGCGAATTTCTGCTCTAGTCAGCCATTTTGAATTTTCAAAGACGCAAATCAGAAAAACAATGCCATAATTGTGATCTACTCTGAAATACCTTCAATTTGAGTATAATATAGCCATACTTTTAAGAGATCAGAAAATAATTGCGAAATCACGCATTAGGCGGCCATTTTGATTTTTTTAGGCCCCAATCAGAAAAACGCTACGATATTTACAATCTACTCTAAATTGCCTTTCATTTGAGTATAATAAAGCTATACATCTCAAAATTAACGCAAATTCCTGTTTTCTCAACCCCCATTTACGGCCCCTGGGGGTCAGGGTGAAAAACTCGGGATATATATGTGAAATAGACAGATGTTAATAAACTGCCAAAATTTCAAATAATAATATTTATTATTTTGGTTTAAAATGAAAAACGTAAGATTTTTGTGAAAAATTCGCGGCATTTTCAAACTGGCGGCCATCTTGAAGAAAAATTTGCGTAAAACTATTCACCAATATACATCTTTCCATTAAATATGAAGAAAATCTGTTGACTAGTATTCGAGTTATCCTCCGGACAGACGGACGAATTCAAGTTCCAACATGAATACCAGGATAAGTTCTCTTGGCCTCCAGTGTGACTGACGGACAGACGGACGGACGGAGGGCTTTACTATATCCCTACAGAACTTCGTCCGTTGGGATAATTAAGATACAATAAGTATAGTAACATATACGTATTTACATTGCTTTATTTCTTTTGGTGTAGGGCATACTGATATAGGCCTACAACATACAACTTAATTGCAATACAATAGGAAATATGTCACAACTACTTGACTCTATGAATATAGCATTTAAAGCATTAATACAATGTGAAATTAAAAATGATATCATGTTGTGTTGCATAAATCATTAATTCAGGATCGGCAAGCAAATTTAGTTCTGTCATTTATTCAATTCAATTTATTTCATAATTCTTATTTAATAATATTTTATTAATATTACTTGTATAATCTTATTTTATCTAATATCATATCCATGTCTAATACCTAATAACCCAACATAAAGGACCAGGGTAAGTATGGCAAGTGATTTTAGAAGGTCATTATATCTTTCACCATGAGTACTTTCTCAAAACCTGTAAAGTGGAACACCTCTTTAAATGGAACACCTCCACAAGTGGAATTGTTGGAACTTCACTTGAAAGAAAGCACATTGTTTTAAATAAAAATTAGTACCGTGGGTACTGGGCTCACATGGTGTTGCTCAAAAGTGAATGATGGCTAAAATGACAGAAAATAAAAAAATTGATATGATGTTTTTGCTGATTTTTTGTAACAAAATTATTTCATACAACTACTCTTTACAAAGACATGGCTTTTTCAATGTAGGACATCTGGAATTATTCGTAAAGCTAGGAAATGGGCCAAAAGTGAATTTCACAAGACAAAAATGGTGGCCGTTTTGAAAATAGGCGAGCTTTTGAAGCAGAAGTCACACACACTACCCTACCACGTGACCACGTTTAAAATGGAAACAGGGTACAGCTAAGTTGCAAATGGAGGACGTGGGTTTAATTCCATATTTCTGAACGTAAAATACATTTTACATTTATTTCTAGTGTTCTACCAGACATAGAATTGATTCATCAAGCAGTTTGTAGAATATTGTTGGCAAAAAAACCCTATAGGCAAAGATAGATAATAGTGGGCGCAGTGAAGCAAAACTCAACACAATACACGATACATTTCAGTAAATCTGTCAACGTACAGGGAGCATGTAAGTTTCCCTTCGAAAATGTTACATTGATATGTAACAAAAAAAAACAGTGAACTATTATTTCAACTGCGTGTCATCGTGTTATAGGTGGATACGTTTTCTAGTATGTTATTCAACTGTATTTTTGTGAATTTGAACAAAACATTCTAAATGATCGGTTTTTGAGGACGGTAGTGAATTATACCATTCAAGGGGTTATATAGAAGGATTCTTCACATGTAGTTCAGGCAATTTTAATTATTCTGAGTAGCGGATAGCCATTAATACTGATAGCGGATAGTCATTTATATAATTATCATTAACGTCTTAACATTTAATTTTGTTATTTTATTTCAATTTAATACCCTAGTAACACGTATAATCTAGCGTTCTTGTTTATTTTATGACTAAAATGCATACGACCTGAAAGCCTGTGTCTAAATCTACAAAATAATGTTTACTTTATTTGGATTAAATAACAATTGAGGACACCCCAAAGCATCAACAGGCGACCTTTTTAGCATTACTTTCACTGTTTGCAGCGTAAATGTACATGAGGTCGGAACATAGTATGTCTGTATAATCAGCTTACTTTCTCGCTCCCTGTACTATTGAACAATTTACATTCCTTGTACCCTGTATTGATCAACTTTTGCAATTGTGTACCGTGTACTATGACATATCAAATATTTTAAAATTTAAAACGATATTATTTTCATTCTTTCTATAACTATCATATAACTTGGAACATCGACTTCACTATTGCACCACTGAAGTGTAGCGAATAGCAATATTGACTCACTCCGAGCACCAAACGTATTAACCTTTTGAGTAAGCAGTCGATATACTCAAAAGCGACCTGATTGAAAGCCAAAAAATTCGCGCATGCGTGATCGAGGTAGGGTAGTGTGTCACAGGGGTTTTTTCTTTATTGATGCTGAACAAAAATATTCTAAAACAGGAATCCTATCTACAGAGGATT